CTGCCTCCTAGACCGACACACGACAAACAGCCAGAGATGGTGTTGAAGCTGAGCTTCGCCTGCTGGGACTATGACCGTACTAAGGCCCTGGAAGATGGGCGGGTACGACCAGAAGGCATCGAGCTCACCTATCTTAATTATCGCGTGGAGGAAACGTCAGTACCATGCTTTCCTCTCGAAGACGACGCTGACAGCTCCGCACAGATTTTTCAGGCAGCTGCGCTTTCAGGAATTCGATGTCTCCGAGCTCAGTCTATCGTCCTATGTCCTAACCCTGAGCCAAGAACCGCCACCGTTCATTGCCATTCCCGTCTTTCCCTCGCGGTTCTTCAGGCACCAATCCATGTACATCAACGTGAACTCGGGCATCAAGAAGCCTTCCGATCTCAAGGGGAAGCGCATTGGCATTCCTGAGTACCAAAGTCAATGCAAGCACCCTATTCTCATATAGCTTGAAACTGACTTTTCGATCAGTGACCGCTGCCGTGTGGCAACGAGGGATCCTAGAAGACGAATTTGGTGTTCACCCCACCGAGGTCGAATTCTTCACGGGCGCCATCGAACCTTCGAAGACTGAACGAAAGAGCAAAGTTCCCCATACACTGCCTCCAGGGGTCAAAGTAGTTACCATTGAAAGTGGTAAAAGTCTCTCGAAGATGCTGGAAGACGGGGAAATCGATGCCATCTTCAGTGCTTCCCGTCCCTCTAGCGTCGGCCGAAGCAGCTACTGCACCTACCTTTTCCCGGATTTCAAAGCTGTGGAGGCTGACTACTTCGAAAGAACAAGAATCTTTCCTATCATGCACGTCATTGCCATCAAGAGGACAGTCTACGAAGCCAACCCTTGGATAGCCAGAGAGCTTCAAAAGGGGTTTGCAAAATCGAAAGAGCTGGCCTTTGAGGCCCTGGTTGAGAGAGCGGCGCTACGCTACATGCTGCCCTGGCTGGAGGACCATGTCAGGGAAACACAGGCCATTATGGGTGAAGACTGGTGGAAAGATGGGTTCCATGAGAACAAGCACGTAATTGAGAAATTCCTGTCGTACTCCTATAGTCAAGGACTGGCTAAGCGGCAGTACAAGGCGGAGGAACTGTTCGCACCTGGAACCCTCGAAGCATTTGTGATTTAGCAGAATAAGTTTCATCTACAGCAAATGATTGACTTCTGTACCAAGCACAAACATATAGCTTTGTTCCACGGCTGCTCGCAACTAGAAAGCCCGTGTCTACTCGGCGGGAGTACCATGGCAAGTTACACTGGAAAAAGAAGATTGTGATCAGAATTTTCCTTTTGGCGACCGTCGGACAACCTCCGCAAATTGACCTCGATTAACAAATTTCCATCATACCGTATCTTCATCTCGTCGACCTCCTACGCATCCAACATCCAAGGGCATTGGCATCGGCATTCCACCTTCGACGGATCGACTCCATCCTCGGCGTTCTGGAGGTTCGTGGGGGGCTGTTGGTAAGGTCTTATGCACTCCGTTATGGCCACGACGGCGGCATAAAATGCATGTACTCGGAAGATGCCGCGGCTGGTTGTCTGAATTCCGAGCCACTGGCGTTGGGGCGGCAAAATGGAATAACAGGCCCACGATGGCAGTCTGGTGAACTCCGAGCAGATTGAGGCCACCACATCGCAGAGTTCCATAGTGCCAATGCGCCACCTAGAAGCTGGCACCAGGATGCCGAGCGCTTGCCTAAACCAAACAAGTTCTAATATGACGCATTCTGTCTTATAAGTTGATTCGCTTATACGGACGGTGTCGAGTTGAATCGATCAACGTCAAAGTTTGCACAGAGAATACCATCACGCATTACTAAACACAAGATGATGCCCATGATCCTGCTTGGTCTGATGGGCTGCATGCTCTTTATAGCCCAAGCCATCTTCAGACGACAAAGAAACGAGCACTCTCTCGACCACATTCCCACTCACAGCTTTGCCGATGGCAATAACTCTCGGCAGCGGTACCTGACGAATCTCAGAAACCTTCTCGAATCCGGCTACCGACGTTACAACAAAGCTGACAAAGCCTTCAAAGTTACTATCCCCATTGGCGGCTACGCCATCAAGTACCGCGTCGTGCTCCCCAAATCCCATCTCGAGGAGATAAAGCATCTCTCCAACAATATCTTTAGCTGGCAGCTTGCCTCGCGTATTATTTTCGCGCAGGATTACACCGGCGCTCCTGACCGCGGCCAGTGGTCCGGAAAGGCCTTGCGCGTAGGTATTCACCAGAACTTGGGTGATATCACGAAGCAGCTTAACCTACGCATTTCCCAATACTTCAGCCTGCACCTACCCCAGCAAAAGGGCAGCGTCGGGACGGTCAACCTCATGGAGTTCTTTATTCCCACGATCACGTACGTCACCAACGCGCTGCTCGTCGATGAGCGCCTCTCGTCTGATCCGACGTGGCTCAAGGAGACCGCCGACTTCGCCGTTACCCGCTACGGCGCCGCCGACGACGTACGGCGGTGGCCTCCCTACCTCGCCTCTATCGTCGCCCCTATGATCCCCTCCGTCCGCCGCCTGCGCAGGCAGCGCGAATATGTGATGAAGCGATTACGGCCACTGTACAACGAGCTGAAAGAGGCCGGCCAGCTAGAGAAGCATAACAAGACCCGGCAGAAGGGAGCTCTAGGCTACGAATGGCTTTGGGGCGGCTCGCCTGACAACGTCACACTGCGCGACTTCTCCGACACGATGATGCGTACTATGATTGCCGCTATCCACACGACAGCTAAGACTATTAGCGTTGCGTTGATTGACCTGCTCACTCAGCCGGAGCTACTAGCGGAGCTAAAGCAAGAGGCCAATGAGGCCACTTCAGCCGACGCTAGCTGGGTCGATATTGAGCGACTCACAAAGCTCGACTGCTTTCTTAAGGAGTCGCAGCGACTGAGCCCTGTATTCCTACGTAAGGCACTCCAACTTCCCTGCTGCCCCTATATTTACTACCGACACCGCAACTCACACAAAGGTCTCGTAGTCACTATGAATCGCATCGTTACCCAAGACTACACATTCAAATGCTCGGGGCTTAAGCTACCGAAGGGCACGATGGTCACAGCGCCCGCGGCCGCCATCGCCACTGACCCAGAGACTTTCGCGGACCCGGAAGTCTTTGACGGGCACCGCTACCGCCGGCTGCGCGAGCAGCACAAAGAAGGTGCCAGCTCCCTGGTGCTTGGCATGTCGACCATCGACTCGCTCGGCTTCGGCCTGGGCAACCAGGCCTGCCCCGGCCGCTTCTTGGCCGTCAACAATCTGAAGCTGATGCTGGCCCGCCTGCTAACTGGCTGGGAGCTCAGTCTGGAGAAGAACGGGCAGGAGTACAACGGCAATCGCCCGAACATCGAGTACAATGACTTTTCAGTCGTGCCTCCAAGCGAGTACAGCTTGCGTCTCAGGCGATTATGAGCTGGGTTCGGGTGTTGGTTGCCGGGAAGACTGTGGGTCCCTAATCCTTTCTCTATAGATAAGGGGCAGAAATAGGTCATCCATGCCAGAACGTCGTTTGCTAGCATGGCGAGTAGACAAAGAATGTTAGTAAACAGATACAGATGTCGTGACGTTCCCAGCAAATATGCAGATCTGGAATATTCTTTTTCGATAATAAGCCCAGCTAAATGATTTTGTAACGGCTGATTGGGACTCATAGATGTCAACGAAAGTGGAGAGTGACTTACAGCCTCCTATTATTGGATGCTCCTTTGCCCTCATTTCCTATGTTTTGGTATGTAGGGGCTTGTGCAGCAACTTGGACCAGTTTACTCCAAGCACCTTAGCATAACCCGGCTCCTTATCCGATCATCGGAAGAGACAGGTATTTAACATGCCTTCTGTTTACCACGCTCTTTAACCTTTCTTGAATTAATCAACATCTATCAATGCAATTGGTTCCCCTTGGTATAATAGCCCCTCTCAGCGCATACAGTGCCATACTATTTAGCTTGCTTTTGCAATAGTTGTTCTCGATGACGTCTTGCAGCGTGTGATATATAGTGAAGATGTTCCTTATTTTTTTTAGTGTGTTATTATTTTAAGACCTATCAATTTGTTGCACGTTAGTCAAGCTGTGGGTACCCAAAACCTGCCCTAACCTGGAAACTTATACACATCCATGCTACAGGGCAGGAAGAAAATCCTTATTTTATGCTTCCAGTTCGTGGTTAGCTGGAGCCTGGAGAGAGAGATTATTGGAGGCCTGAGGAGTATTTTTAGGCAATAGATAGCTGATGGAGTTGGCAGAACACAGATCTAAGATAAAGCAAGGTAATATTGAATGCGAATGTAGTAGTGAGACAATGAATATATATATTTTCCTTTAGGTGTCGCAAAAAATGTATGGCCGTTAGAGTGGTGTGACAGGTATTGAATACAAAATTAGCGCTAATAACTAATCAATCTTATACTGAGAATGCTACCGTGCAGGTGCCTTGCTAATGGTGGAACCGTGCCTGGAAAGCTAGAATAGCCTATACAGACTTAACATTCTCAATTATGGATTCTCACGAGCACGCAAATGAGAAGGACACTACATAGGTCAAGTACTAAGTCTCTGCTGGTTATACTACTTCTAAGCTAATCCAGCAACAACCCGTAAAGCCCACCCCAGAACGGGAAGCTGGTTCATAGTCACTTACTGATAAGGCCAAGCAGAACTGACTCGAAATCAGCGCGATAGAGGACCCATCACAAATAAAGAAATTATTATGAGCAGCCCACCTATAATTACGGCCATTGCACCGGCCAAGATGATCGCTTGCCAGCCACTATTTCTGTGGACATCAAATACTTAGAATGTCTAGAGGTGCGAAAGTTCTCAACTTCGCTTCTTGGAGCAACAAGAGTCAGACTTTGCATTCTATAAGCCGATCTAGGCAGAGCGAGCAGAATCGCGGCTGGGCTGCTATTCACTGGAGTCATCTCTGCACAGGCCCAGCAAACTCCGCCTCCGCCTCCCTCGACAAATTCATCTCTTTTCTGCCTATTTATCGAGTTCCACCACAAGCTTGGAGTTGCTCACTCCCTTAGCAAGGGTGTCCAAGGCGCCGTTAATTGCCTCCAACCCCCCACTAATCCTCTCGATTCGCGTCGGCAAGAGCTTGCCGTTCGCGATGCCCTTGGCAAAGAAGGTATGGAATGCCCATCTAATCCAGTGCTCGTTACCCTCCTTGTTAAGGGCGTACGGCCAAGACGAAAAATGGCGGACCACACCCTTGGGCAGCGCCTCAGGGCCAAACGGGGGCAAGGTAGCGAGGATCGTGCCTCCACCCTGGGCGGTCGCCACGTCGGCGAGCATGCTGACTGTATTAGGATAGGATATGGTATCCACGATGACGTCGTAGGGTCCCTCAGTGACGAGGTCCCTGACGATGACCTCGCGATCCTGAGTGTGATCGATGATCTTGTCCGCGCCCAGCTTGTCCACAAAAGTCCTGTGTTTCGGCGATGTAGTGGTGACGACGCTGTAGCCCGCCATACTGACGTACTGAATGGCCAAGCTGCCTAGGTTAGAAGTTCCCCCATAGATGAGGATCTTCTTGCCGGTAGGGATTTTTTCACCCTCGATGTTCGGCTTCGGTACGCCGGCTGTGGCGCTCAGCATGCCAACGACGGTGGTCAGGTTACCGATCAGGCTCACAGGGATAGCGAGATCTACTCCCTCCGGAACGACGCAGGCCATGTCCACCTTGGCCAGGGCATATGCCTGAAAACCAGCGTACTTGTCGCCGTGTGATGGGCTACCATAGACAGCGACTCTGTCTCCAACTTTGAAATCGGAGACATCCTCGCCGAGGGCGACAACAGTGCCGCCAAATGACGTTCCAATTATGCATGGGTACTCGGGATGAAAAAGATCGTTCTTGGTAATATTGACCTCGACCGGGTTCACGGCAATCAGTTCGTTCTTGATGAGAATGTCGCCTGGTCCTGGGGTGGGTGTTTCGACTGCCCTGACCTCAAGAGGCGCGCGAGCGGCCGGGTTGATTGCAGCACGGTTTTGTGACGACATTGTTACTTGTCTCTGTCGAGATACACAGATATCTTGGGTTTCAATTGGCAAGTGTAGGCTTTGGTCCGTAGTCTTTAGTCTTTCTCCAGGGTTGGTAAGGCGATGATTGCTGTTCTCGGTCTTCTTGCGGTGCTACCAAGGGCATGTTTAACTTGACGAAGAGGGCAATGATATTTATTCCTTGCAAGGAGTAACATTAGTCAGTATCAGAACTCTAACCAAGTGAACAGGAAGCGTGAGATTGTTAAGCGATGATTCAGCGATGACCTGCAAAGTCCGCAAAGACCGCGCGGCTGAATAAGCCGGAGAGTTGATTGAGGAGGAGGCCGACTCTCGCACTTTCATCACCGCCGACGTGCGAGGCTGGCTCGCTACCTTGTCTACGTAGTGTATCTTCTTCCCCAACGTGAGAGGCACGGATTTATCCTCGCTCTTCTCCCTGCCAGTCGGTAGCTTACTGGTACGCTGTCACCTGCCCCTGGGGGGATAGGCCGGTCATAGGCCGCTCGCTTGCACACATCAACTGCAGCTACCCGGCTCATTGGCCGATGTGACAGAAAGGTGTGCTTCATTGTTGCCAGCGGCAGATGGATACTTGACGATTGTAGCAACGCTACTATTGCTTTACGGCCACTGAGCGTGTAACAGATTATCCGGCTTAGACTGGAGCAATGCGTATTCAGTCACCGCTTCTTCGCAAGTATTTGGACTATGCAACCGGTCAGGGAAGGCTATGATGAAGACCGACTGAAACGCTCCAAAACACCATACTAAATGCGGTAAATACAACTTCAGCCATCACCAGCATAATCAAACCATATGTCTATTTCACTGCTGTGATAAATGAGCTCACTACAAGTAGGAATACTGATATGTTTGTTGTCTGAAGTATCGAATTACCTGGTGGCTTGGGATGAACCGTCGAAATACTCGTTTAACTTGATTATTCTCCCGGTTATGTCAGAGATAAACCCGTGCTTATTGGAATGCAGAGAACTGGATTCCTAAGCCATAGTGTGAAACTCTAAGAAAGTGGAATGGCAGGCCTGATTTGACGTAGGAAAAGGAATGGAAGGATAGTAGAAGAATAGGTGTATTTGATGAGGGAAAGACGTATACTTATATTCATATGCGATTGAGCTTGTGCACTGCAGACAGTTTGACGAACGAAATACAGCATTGTACAGAGATTGGCGGTTTCAGAACTGCTGGATAAGACTGAATTTGTTGCCGGGATATCTATATGGATGTTTGCAATCCTTTCCACTTCCCGCCCAGAGTGCTTCGTCGGACGCATTGTAGACAACGGGATGAGAACGAGGTAAATTAACCGCGCTTATACATAGATCTCGCCAGAGGGTGAGGCTGATTTCGGAGCTTCAGAGGCCCCTCACATGAGCTAATAGTCCGTTGCAGGGCACACGGGAGGTTTGATGTAGCCTCTAGTGATGGCCCGACGGCTGTTTAGATACTGGAAAAACATGCTTCGTTTTAGAATGGCCTTATTTCGTCATGCTTTTTCTAATTAACTCACTCCAGTATACGAAATTGATACAGAGGTTCTTCCCGGATATCGATCCGAGAATAGTTTCGCCACCACTGACCACGGTCGTCGCTCGTCCTTTAAACTTCACAGAATAGCCACCTCTCCTGAAGACCATCGGGAGTGCCTCCTGGATTTTTGTTGGGCCTTGTTGTGACCATTCAAGATGTCCTGTCCGCGTCCTACGCGACGGAAGCGACTCCAATGGGCTATGCCCCAACATATGTCCACTTAAGCTCTTTGGCCGATACATCCTTCCCATTGACCGTGATGACTTTCTTCTCCCCTGGCATTAGATCAAATCCGTTGTCGCTCAGCTTCAATCCTTCCCTCTCTTCAAAGACGAATCCCTTTACTGGGAGATCCGCCGAAACAGTAACCGCATCCCCGGACGGCGAGAAGTCCTCCTTGATATTTCGGTTCGAGAAGTCCAGATACTTCAATGGCTGTGGCCAGGCCGTGTCCGTTGCCACCACCTGACCCCCAACCGATATCACCGCGTAAATGACGAACGGATCGAAGGTGCCGGCAGAAGCATTGTGAACCTTGACGAGTTGCTTTGCAAGGACTTCAGTAGTGGAGTTTGGCTTCGCAAGTGTCCTGGTATCAATCGTCTCACTGACCAGCTCCCCCGACTCTATGGAGATGAACTTGACTGTGATGTCAACTTCAACCGTTTCTTGCTCACTACTCGCGATCCAGAGTTCAAACTCATCTGAATTGGTGCAGGAGAATGGATCGGCATGTCCGGAAGTCCACACAGGGCAGTTCCGCGATATACCCACATCCAGCGGCTTCAGGGCTCGGGCGATGGCGTAAAACGCAGGCTTACGGATCAAGTAGTAATCAACCACAGCCCAGGAGATTGTCGGCCAGCAGTCATTGAGCTGCCACACTAATACACCACCGCATCGTCGAGATCCCGGCTGTCCCCACATTCGCCTCCAGGCTTTGTATGCATAGCGCATCGTTTCAGCCTGCAGGATTTGAGTAACGTGGGTGAAGGTTGGGAGATCGGACGGCACGAGGAAGTTCTCCGTGACATACGTCAGCATACGGCGTTGATGCTCACGCGCTTTGTTACGGAAGTCCATCATCATCGTGCCTGGGCGTTGTTGCTTGGGATCCGTAATGACCCGGCGAAGAGTCCCGAGATGAGGGTAGGCCTCCATTCCGAACTCGCTCACGAAACGCCCAGAGAGGTCGGCACTATCCTGATATCTGCTCATTGGGCCATGCCAGACTATATAGTGTTAGTACGTCATCATCGGATACGTGTAAATGGGAATTGTTGATCCACTCACGGTCCCACTGGTGAATATTGCCCACTGTTTGGTCCGCCGTGGGTTTACCGTCGCCCCAGGGACTGCTAGGATGATAAATGCAGGATGGATCTTCTTCCTTTACCCACCTGGGCATCAGGTACTCGTAAATATATCTCGCGGGGAATGTGGACTGCTTCCATGACTCCGGGTCCTTATTTTCAAAGTCATACTCAAGTTTGTATCTCTCCTGGACCTGGTAGTCTTCGTTGTTTCCGGCCCAGATAACAACAGAGGGGTGAGATCGCAATCTCCTGATATTCTGTCTGGCTTCTTCCTCAACTGATTTGAGGAAAGCGTCGTAGACGGGGTAGTTGGCACAAGCGAAGGCAAAGTCATGCCAGACCATGATACCCAGCTGATCGCATGCGTCTAGGAGGGCATTATCCTCGTAGATGCCACCACCCCATACGCGGAGCATGATTTGATTGGATTCCACCATGAGTTTCATCCAATTGAAGTATCGATCTTTTGATATTTGTGCAAGATAGCTATCGGCTGGGATCCAGCATGACCCGCCGGCAAACACATCGATCTCGTTGATGCGGAAGTAGAATGACTTGCCGAACTCGTCTTTCACTTGTATGAGTTCACAGCGACGAAGTCCAATGAGCTTGACTCGCTCGTCCAGTTCTGCATTAGCCGCATGGACGAGCTTTGCGGATAGTTGGTACCGGGGTTGCGTCCCATACCCGTGGGGGTACCATAGGGCAGGCGAATCTAGTTGGAAGATGGCCTTTGCTAAACCATCAGGCGCAGGACGACATTTCTGCTCGAACATTACCTTCTCTTCGTAAGACAGCGACAAAATCACATCAAAGTCGGCGTCAACCTTCTGTGCCGCAGCTGCCTTGATTCGCGCGTACAAGTTTCCGGAACAGGTCTTGTTATCTGCGGATATCTCATACTGCGCCCAGACATCGTCTATCCTGTATGTGTACTGCTCCAGGATAACAGGGCGCCATGGACCAGCTGTCATCAGGATAGGACCCCAGTCCCAGCCCCAGTTGTATTGAGCTTTGCGTACCGGAATCCGGCTTGCTTCAGTCTGGCGGACATGGAAGACGTGCTCTGGATGCTGTTCGATGAGTTTGTCCCCTGCCTGACGGGCAGAGTGGAACACAATCTGTAGCTCATTGCCTTCTCCATCTTGACGAAGATGCTCCGAGATATGCACCCTGTGGGAAATATGCATGTTTTCTGACTGAAGGACCGTAGTTCCGTTCACGGTTACGGTCGCAAAGGTATCCAGTCCAAGAAAGACAAGATCCGTAGTTACACCATCGCTACTAGATGGGACAGAGAATTTGGTTCGGTAGATCCAGTCTTTCTCTGCAATCCATTGTACCGCCAGTTCATTGGCATCCACAAAGGGATCCGGGATCCTCCGGTCGGTCAGCACGGGAGAGACATAAGCAGAAATATAGTCAAAGGAGCACAATTTACTTTTCATTAGCAAGAAGATCAATATGGACTTGACTAGGTACTGTTTGCACAGGAAGCCAGCCATCTTCTGAAGCGGCATCAGCCTGCTTGAGGGACCATCCGGTCGTCAACTGTTGCGTAGTCCGATGCATCATATTAAGGCAAATGGTGTTCGCGTACTGTTAACCCAACAAGGCCCTCCAGTCAGCAGCCCTTTTATTTCAACGGAAAGCCACACGGAGGTTACTCCTTGGGGTAGCTGCGTTGGCGTTGTCCCGTTCCCGAAATGGCACGGGGATTCAAATCCCCGCGTGGGGTAATGCAGGAAAACCCTAAAGGCGGCCTCGCCCCAACAGGAATGCAGGGCAGCCGAATTGCCATCGAAACCGAGCTATCATGACGGATACCACGTTTTCGCTGTCGGATAGTAAGTCGCCTGATAGAGAAGACTTAAAACAGTGCTGACAACAACAGTACAATTCCACCGTGTGGAGGGCGATTGCTGGATCGCGATCCACGGCAATGTCTACAATGTCACCACCTTCTTAAGCAGTCATCCCGGTGGTAAAGCCATTATTCTTCGGCATGCTGGCACTGATGCAACGGAAGCGTTTGCCGATGTCCATCCAGAAGAACTGCTGCAGGAATATTTGACCCCCGATCAACTGTTGGGTCAATTAGAGCCCACTTCTCAAGATGGCAAGAGGACCGAAGGGACACAAACGCATACAAGTCCTGCTCCTCCTCTGGATTCAATCTTGAGCATTGCGGAAATGGAAGAACTCGCGTTGAAGCGTCTCAGTCCAAAAGCAATCGCATACTACGCGTCGGGGACAGATGATGAGATCACTAAGGTTGCAAACGGAACCATCTACAAGTCTATCCTCCTGCGACCAAGAGTTTTCGTCGATTGCACACATTGTTCCCTATCAACCACTCTTCTGGGAAACCAGGTTGGACTGCCGATATTTGTGTCCCCAGCAGCTATGGCGAAACTAGCCCACCCATCCGGCGAGGCGGGGATAGCTGCAGCATGTTCCAAATTCAACACTCTCCAGATTATCAGCAAGAACGCATCCATATCACCATCAGACATCGTGCGAGCAGGCCTTGGCGCCGTATTTGCATGGCAGCTCTACGTCCTCAAAGATATCAACGCGACGGAGCGGACCTTGGCTCAAATAAAAGCCATCCCACAGATCAAGTTCATCGTCCTGACGCTTGATGCGCCATTTCCGGGAAAACGTGAGGCCGATGAACGGTATAAAGCCGCAGAAGTCGCGGGAGGTGGGCCTCCTCAAGTATGGGGCACAGAGTCAACGCTGACCTGGCGCAAAACATTGAAATGGTTGTGCCAACATACGGATCGGCCGATTGTTCTCAAGGGGATTCAGACGCATGAGGATGCTTATGCCGCAACTATGTTTCCAGCTGTTAAGGGGATCATTCTCTCAAATCACGGTGGGAGGGCTCTGGACACGGCCAATACTCCTTTGCAGGTTCTGTTGGAGATTAGGAAGTTTTGCCCTCAGGTCCTTACAGAGCTAGAAGTGTTCGTTGATGGCGGTATCAAGAGAGGCACGGACGTCGTCAAAGCGTTGGCATTAGGAGCAAAAGGTGTTGGTCTCGGCAGAGCTGCACTCTATGGCCTGGCAGTGGGCGGAAGCGAGGGTGTTTGTAGGTCTCTACAAAGTTGGTCCCCTTCCTCTATGTTCATACAACGCAGCATGATACTAACAACGTCTCATAGTCCTCACAGACGAAATTGCCACAGCTATGCGACTCCTCGGCGTCAGCCGCGTGAGTGATCTTGGACCACAGCATGTAAGTCACAGCCTTTCCTGGACGTGAACATACCCCGGGAGTTCAACCGCTAACTCTACATTCATAGGTCAACGTCTCCATCTTGAACTCTCGGCTCTACGATGGACCAGCAGGGTTGGGTAAGGTGTGGAGTAGCCTAAGGGAGAATAAATTATAGAGTCAATCGTATTCAATCGCTCGCCAAGGGAACTCCTGAATCATTGAAACATATTTTTACTCATCGTGCCATAATTCTAGAATCACGAGATCATGGCAAACTTTCCCCTCATCCATTCCTGCTTGTACGAGACGTCTTCTCTTCGGCTGGTATGATTGGCGAACGGATGGTGCGCGTGGGGGCTTCCCCGGCCCGTACGCAAATTCAAACTTCCGTCTCCCGCTTTCGGCATAGTTGGGGATGAAAATCGGGGTATTAGCTCCCCATGGGGATGCCTTTTTGATTCTAAACGCCTCTATAAAGCCTCTGCACTCTCCAGGACGATCTTAACATGCCTAACAGTGCATTTTCTTGACAGGTCTTTGACAATTCTTAGGCCCTTCTTGTCCAACATGAACGACCCGCAGCAAGGCCCTGTCCTCAAGGAGGTGGAGAATATGGAGGACTCAATGGAAACATATGCCAGTATCATGGCAACACAAAAGCCGAATCCCCGAGGACCAGGTTACATTAAGTTGTATATCCTGTCGGCGGTGGTGTTTCTGTGTTCGACTATGAATGGCAAGTCCTCTGCGCCCGATGCGTTCATTCCATGCATCCTTTCATATGCTGACACTAGTTCCCATAGGATTTGATAGTTCGTTGATGGGATCGATCAACGCGCTGCCAAAGTATATCGAGTATTTTGGTTTGCCTGAAAACGGCAACGCGAGTACAGGCATTGTATTTGCCATCTTTCAGGTGAATCAATCGCTTCAGCAGACTCTTCATGAACATGACTAAATGGTCCCGGAAAAAGGTCGGCCAAATGTGTGGTGCACTCTTTATCTGGATGACGGACTGGTATGGACGAACCTGGCACATCTTCTTAGGTTGTTTGGGTGTGTGCATTGGCACTATCATAACTGCCCTGGCATCAAATTTGCCCACCTTCATCGCGGGAAGATTCCTTCTCTCCTTTTTTGCAACGTGCGCACACACTGCTGCTCCTCTTTACCTGGTCGAACTCGCCCCGGCAGCCTATCGGGGGACCATTGCGGGAATGTACAACACATTCTACAATGTTGTATGTATATGTTTGCTGAAGACCCCTGGGACGTGAATTTGACTAACTGTGGAATTGAAAAGGGCTCCGTACTCTCGACATCAGCGGTATATGCTTGCCACAAATACCTGGCTCACCGGGGAAATTTAGATTGGAGAATACCCCTGTGGCTTCAGATGGTGTGCCCTGGACTTGTGTGTCTGGTTATTAAATTCTACCCTGAGTCTCCGAGATGGTAGGTCGAGGTCGCTTGCTATGCGTCTTTACCAATTTTGAGACCATTGCTAATTCAAGTACTACCACAGGCTCGTGTCCAAGGGTCGCCACGATGAAGCGAAGAATACTATTGCCACCTACCATACAAACGGTGACCTTGACCACCCGCTGGTAGCGCTTCAGATGAGAGAAATGCTCGCACTGGTTGACGAGGAGCACCAGGCGTCTTGGAAGGACTTGGTCGATCTCCGAGTGCTTGTCGAGTCCCATTCAAGTCGGTACAGACTAATGTTGAACATTGCGTTCTCTTGGTTCGGCCAGTTCAGTGGAAACAAGTATATCACTTCCAACCAGTCATGATTATTCTCCTTTGGATAACATACTGATCAAGTGGCTTCTTTAGCATCGTATCATACTATCTCCCCATCATGCTCAGCGGTATCGGTATCACCGATACGGATACGAAACTGATCCTCAACATCGTCTACGCGGTCGTCGGGTGGGTGTCCTCCATCTTCGGTTCGCGCCTCCATGATGTGGTTGGTCGCCGCAAAATGCTGATCACTAGCACGGCCGGTATGACCGTCTGCCTCGCCATTGTGGCAGGCTGCGCGGCTGGATACACGGACTACGGCAATAAAACGGCGTCAACCGTCAGCATTGTTTTCATCTTTCTCTTCGGTGCTATCTTTGCCTGCGGATTCACACCCATGCAACCCATCTACCCTGCGGAGGTTGTTAGTACCAAGATGCGCGCTAAGGCGATGGGTACCTTTAAGTTGACAGCCGGAGCTGCTGGGTTCCTCAATACCTTTGTTGGACCCATTGCACTGTCAAATGTACGAAGACGATCCCATTTATTTCCCGGACCTGGCTAACGATGCTTCCTCCAGATTGGATACTGGTTCTATGTGTTCTTTGTATTCTGGGATACGTTGGAAATGACCTTTATGTACTTATTCTTTGTTGAGACCAAGGGATGCACGCTGGAGGAGCTAGATGTCATCTTCGACACCCCTAATCCGCGAAAGGCGAGTGTCGAGGCAGCGAAGGCGAGAAAACGGATTATGAGCAGTGCGGCGTAATTATCAGGATAGTGTAATACTAGGATTGTACAGAATTATTGGTCTAGTTGTTGTACGGAGTAGCAGGTGACTGGCCCCTTGCGGTCCGGAAAAATTGGTAAATTTTGTCAGGGGCCGGTTACAAGTTAAGGTTGTGCAAACCGGTAATGGGTTGGGTCTGGCTTCCGCAAAAACGACATATTTAATGGTAGACGCGTCACTTCCTGTCATTTCTTCTTCCCCACATTAAACATGTTCCACTCATTCGAAAGCAGCCATCAGGGAGAGCCTGCCACACCACCAAGACCCCAGTTACCCCGCAAAATAAATCGGTCATGTTTTGAATGTACCCGACGAAAGGTGAAATGCGACGGGGGAAACCCGTGTTCGAGTTGCCAATATTATCATGTCCCTGAAGCCTGCGTGTATAGACAACGGACGAGACGGAAGACAGCTAGTAGGAGGTAGCTCACCTTCTTATTGGATGCATTCTGTCCCTAATATATATATCCAGTGCCCTTGAGAAAGCGACAGAGACCCTGCGACAGCAGTCCGGGGTTCTCCAACTACTATTTCCCAATTCCTCCCTAGAGGAACTAGTGGAGAAGGATCGTTCTGAACTCATCTTCCTTCTGTTGCACGATGCACCAGATGTTGCAGAGCGATCATCAGAGCACTATACAGGAGCGTTGCCCGCTGCCATATCTCCCGTTATTCCCAGCCATCTCGAAGATGCACCCGCCTCTCCGGAAGAGTCCGAGAGAGGAGAATCGGGAGAGGAGAGACGGTGGGACGAGTCGGCGCAAAACCCAACTACGATAGCCGCTAACGACGATATCAATGCAATCAGCCTCGCGGGCGACCGTCATCGTCGCTCTTATCTAGGCATATGCTCCGTAAGTGCGGTTCTTTGCGCGTTGTTTCGGCTTTATCCTGCTGCAAAAGAACACATCGTGGAACAATCGAAGCAGTGGCTCGAGGTCCAACAGGTAGTCACTCGCCCGTCTATTTGGAACCCTACTCCTGCTCTGCCATTACCGTCAGATTCTCTGCTTGAAATGCGCTATGTGGAGTTTTACTTCGAGCATATGCATGCCATCACGCCGTTCTTGGACGAGGAGTCGTTCCGAGCCACATTCGCGGCAGCCGATCGACAAACTCCTGCATGGCTGGGCCTTTGCAATATGGTGCTCACGGTTGGTTCCATTGCTTCAGGAAGTGACACAGCCCACGTACACTATTACAAGAAAGCTCGTTCGTACCTGGACCTCGACTCCCTTGGATCTGGTAACCTAGAGACTCTCCAAGCGCTGTGTCTACTGGGCGGGTACTATCTCCATTACCGAAACTCTCCGAACATGGCATACGCGATCCTTGGTGCCGCCCAACGCCTCGCCATAGCCTTGGGTTTACACCGCGAGTCCCAAGCCCGTGGGCATCACCACCACCAAGATTCTGACGCAAGCCACCACCGCGCCATCCGGCTGGAAAGTCGACGGCGTACCTGGTGGAGCTTATACTGCCTCGACACCTGGGCCAGTATGACCTTAGGTCGTCCGACCTGTGGACGTTGGGACAGCAGCACGATGAACACATCCCTACCCACCCCACTTTGTCCAAATGACCATTTCGCAGCCTCTCTAAAAGCTAGCATTCAATTCTGCCACATCGGCAACCGTCTCCAACATCGCTTCGCCCAATCGATCCGAATATACCTATCGGAAGCTCGAAGTCTCGATCGCGAACTCCAGGAATGGTACAAGTCCTTGCCCTCACTGCTGAAAGAGACCATCAACGCCCCGCCACGCATCACAGTTGCACGCGAATTCCTACGAAATAGATATCACAACATCCGTCTCATGCTGTCAAGATGCTTCCTCTTATATAAGGCCTACCGTGACCCGAAAAGACATAACACCAGCCAAACCGCAGAAGAAGAGCAAATGGTCGACCTCTCCCGCGTTATCGCCGCTGAGGCTATCGATGCAATAGCGCTCCACTGGGTTCCCAACCGAACGCAAGTCTGGAATGCGGCTTGGTATCTGTTCCAAGCGAGTATGGTTCCGCTTCTCTCTATCGCCATGGCTGCATCCTCCTCTCCCACAACTGAGACTGAGACTGTGCCCTCTGATGATGTTCTGTCCTGGTATGGAAGCCTGAATAAGGCTCTTGAGATCTTTGCGGAGATGAAACCTTGGATGAGAGCTTCTGACCGTGCCCGGGATATTGTGGTTGCACTGTTCCAGGCCGTATCGCAGGGCACAGAGGGCACGATACGGACGCCTTCCGTGGTTGACGGAGGGGGGTCTCATTTGTTCGGTTGGGAGGATGAGTTTTTGACAGAGATGGATTGGAGCATGTTTCTGGGTGATGAGAATCTGTCGCTGTTGATGAATCAGCCTTAATGGCCGCTGAGGTCTCTTGCAGATCTCGACCATGACAGGATACATTCAGATATTACGCAGAACGAGTTCTCCACTGTTGTTGTATCGGAATAGTGGTTCCAGCGAAGGTTATATAGTATCCTTCCATTCAGGGTTATTCCAACCCCTACATCTCCAATTCATCCCATTTTTGGCTAGCCTACATCGTCTGTAGGGACAGATTCTTCTGTACACTCTATCCTCTACCTTCTACAGGTTACGAGCCCGGCTGCCATTCAACATGGTACCAGCCCCACTTGTCTTTCTGCCAGTGGGTGGAAGTACCGTGTTGTTTAGGCAGACATCTGCATATTTGAAGTTTGTATCTTCTGTAAGCAGACCACCGCCTGGGGGAATTCGTTCCGTCGCCGAATAAGTGTCCCATAGCTAGTGTCGATAATGCCCTTGGAAATCTGTGCTCCAGGCGACTCCTTCTTACCACACCTAAATAAGACAGTTTTGCAGTTTGTCATCGCCGTCAGCCCTGGAACACCACCAACCGGGCCACGTTTCCTACAATTGCCACAGACCATCTGCTTTGTGAGATCCAAAACCAATACTCGTAATGAGGAATGGACTTTATTGTTCAGTGAACGGATGTAAAATAAATGCAGCAATGATAGAAGGGGAGACGTTCCTCAATTCGACAACTTGGATGAGTGGGCTATAAGACCATCACTCATTGCAGCAAATCGTATTGTATTAGTTTATGCTTGTACATGACATCCAAAAGACCAGAGCTCGACAGAATCCTCCATTTTTTTACGGCCAACTGACATCTATCCAATATCGAAATGCATTCTTTGCATTCATAGATTCATTATTTGGACTAGGTGAAAGGAACTAAATAATCACTTTGCATCCTGGGTATGCGATCTCCATATTCGATCAGCGCTAGATCAGATCATCGTCACTTCAGTTCAAAAACCAAGCTGGAACCTCCGGTCCCCAAATAGTGACCGATTCATCTCCTGCAGGCCGGTACCCAATGGGCGTCTTCTCATTCACAATATCGCCATCTGCATAATGCTCAATCATATTTCCAGTTGTATCCCACCAGTAGTCAAAAATCTGGAAACCAGTATATGCCGCCCCACTCCCCAGACAGAGCTATATCCTTTCTTCGCTAGCCACTGATGTCCTAGCTTTTGAGTGTCGAAATCATGGACTTCAAAGGAACAGTGGTGGACGTGGGAGGTCCTGTTGGTGCTCATGAAAAAAGTGTGATGATCTACGTAGTCCGCTCCTCGGTCAATGTGTGCGAAGGGGGCTACATTCTTCTTCTGGGATCCTTCGCCAACGTGTAGGAAATCGGTAGGAACCAGATTAAATTTTGTTCTGTAGAAGGCCACCATTGCAGGGAAGTCTGTCACACATAGGCCGTAATGACCTAGCTGCAGGCCGTTTAGTGCATAGAACAGTGGATATAGATATGGACTGAGGGAATGTACCTTATGCACAGCCGTAGGTCCCTCTTCAAATCGTTGAAACCTGCGAATGCGAGGCTTTTCGACCTCGGTGTTAAATACCAAGCTCTCCGGGTACGGACCTGGCTTTGCCAGCTGCTGGCCGTACATCAGAGTTTTCCGGAGTTCTTCCTCGCATTGTACTACAAACGGTTGGCCTGTTACTATGGATTTTGAGCGACCACAGAAAAGCTGCTGACTCAAGGAGATAGAACTCTATGACAATTTGTGGTAGACACATGCGAACATAGATCGATCTTTTATGTAAACAGAAAGTTTTGTCGTTCTGCATGAGGGTAGTTAAGGAGTGGCTTGCTCAAGGGGAAAATACCTTCCCCTCCATCTCTGAATAGTGTTAGCCGTTCCTTAGGACGAAGCATAATGCTATCAATGCTAGAACACTCTCCTGCCATCTACCCCAAGCGTGCCCTCATAGCCGTCTTCTATGAGATGGATTTAAGAAGGGCAGGGCTTCAATGACATCACCGGCGCTTAGGTCTCTACAAGTAATATATTGACTGAACAACGTTTGTGGAGTCGACACTGCGCAATGGCTTCACCATATCCTGAAGCCAACAAAGGTACCTGGTTTGCCGCCCATGTGCCTGACAAAATGGAATGGATTGGACAAGGATGAACCACCATCCCCCTTCCCCCCTGATCGGGATATTTGCGACATGCAACATGCGAAACCATATATATGCACAAAGAGGCAAAGAAGTGAACCAGACCTCGTGGGTTTACCAACCTATTGTCCAAGAAACAATACAGTATGGGCGCTTACTTGCAGCCAGACAGGAGTAACAGATCTAAAAATATCTTGAGGTCAGGCGGCGATATATATTTATTACTGCCCCTCTGGCTTGACTAGAACTTTTGTTCACAATATTGAATTAATTCTCCTCCTTGGCCTCATTCCACACGCTAACTTACGATCTTCGGTTCGACAGGCTTGACAGCTAGATTACTTCTCTTTTTGTGTCCAGCCATGGGTCAAAAAAGCTCAACAGTGTCGAGCTCGAAAGACCTAAGATTATTCGATAACAGAGGAGGCGATTGGGCTCTGGCAATTCCCACATCAGCACCAGCCTTGGTAGCCGCCCTGAGGGACCTGGTGGGCATATACACCGACTTTCAGAACGGTCGCTTTGAACGTCGTGAGATGACGCTTAGTGGTGAAGCTTGTCGCCGTGAGATGACGCTTAGTGGTGAGGCCCGTCGCCTTGAAATGACGCTTAGTGGTGAAGCCCGTCGCATTGAGATGGCGCTTAGTGGCGAAGCTCTTCGCCGTGAGATGGTCCTTACAGGAGAAGCCTTCAGGGACGGAATCCCTACTGTGAAGTGCTTTGTTTCTGTTCTTGCCACCTACTTTCAGCGGCGAAACTACTTGGAGCTTTTCTATGCTTTCATAGCTGGGTCGAACGCCGCTGTGTACTGGTTAGACGTTCTTCAAGGCTCGTCAGCCCTTGAAGAAATTGGGAGGAAAATCCATCGAGAACTCCAGGCGCAAACTGGTCTATCTGCACCCACAGCTTTTGCTAGACAAGTCGACAAAAGCATCAGACATGAGATCCATAATACGCCTCCTGGTGGCAAACACATATATTTTCTTTATCATCCTGATACGGACTGGCATGCTGAATTTTTTGATCATGCGAAGCACGACCCCCTGCCTCAAAACTTCCTAGGATTGTCTGACAATCTTGATTCTCTGTGCGCGTGGATGTTGTTTTTGAGGCAACAATTGGACGAAGACGGGACACAGGCTCGGTTTTATATTCTCATTCCCGCTTATCGCCCAATGGTGGTCAAAGAACCCTTAGATTTCCCGAAGCAACTTTTCCCACTCACCGTTCGGGGCGATATTCATGATTCCAAGCCTTACGTTTGGTTTAACCTTCCAGCTATCGGAAATGTGTCCTCAGACTTGCTAAGTCTGGAACGCATTGGAAATTTATCATCACCGAATGAATGGGAATCTCTTGCGTCTGTTGCAGCCGGGGTGGGTACTACATGGTGCGGTGTATTGGCTTCGTATGCTGTTGTTGCTGCCAGTGGACCCCTTGCACCCCTGGCCGCCGTGGGTTGCTTTGCCGGAGCGATTGCCGCAGGCAGATGTGCGCAGGAGGGTGTTGAAAGCATGTTTGCGAGCGATGGTCCAAGGATACTTGGACAGTTTGATGATCCTGTTTCATCGCGTCAATGAGGTCGATGGCTGTGGACGAAGACAAGATAGTGACAATAACACTTAGAGTTTTACGGCTCCTCCTATTCTAATACTTGTAGAGTCTCAGGGTATAAATTAAGCATAATCGTCACAGACATAGTTCAAGGGATGGAATAGAGCTCTCGTACGTCGGCATTTTGCTCCCTATCTTGCTGTCGACCCGCTTCATCCTCGAGAAACAAGGGGCCTACGGATATTGGAGATAGTGACTTGCGTCTGGAATTCTTCTCAGAGAACGACGGCCATTCCATCTAGAAAGAGGGCAGATTTTGCCACCAAATGATCCCATGCGTGATGCTTCCATCGATGGGGTGATGGTTTGTCTCCGGCCAACTCAATTGGGGGTTGCGTGAACATTTCCGCAGATATTCTTGATCGTACGCTCGCTTCATTCAGCTTCTTTATATCATTTGAGACGTTGCTAGTGAATGGCTCTGGATCATATCATGAATGAATCGTAGCTTCCAAGAACCTTGTCTGAGGGCCATGCTGCACAACCCACAACGGCAACATTTGAAAAAAGGCATAAACTGTTTCTGGAATGCCACCGAACGGCATGAGGTCGCGAACCGTTCGAAACCTTACCCGTATTATATAGTAAAATACAGTAAATTATGATGATGGGGATGATGATATTCTGAGATAAATGAAGATGCACAATGTGGCATGGAGATACTCCTTTCTTCGGGCCAAGTTTAGCCCCTATGGGCAAACCAGGATGCTTGTCCTGAGGCTCACATTAAATTAACAACGTCGCTGTCGCCATGATTTCGACCCATCCTCCAGGCCCACGCCTAAGACTACAGTTGCCCATGCAGCCTTTCGTGGATGCCCTGAATACGTCAGGATAGTTCTAAAAAGATTATGGACATCGTCCATGGCACGCGTCTGAGTAGCTGCAATAAAGGGAGCGGTATTTTTGTCAACTATGTCTGTCATGGAAGCTAATTCATTCCAACTCTGTTGCGCTGTCTTGCCTTCCACTCACATGGGCTAGAGATCGCCTGCGACGATAGACGGGGTTCAGTTCTCAAGCATTTCAGATGACATGCGGGTAGCAAACAGGTACTGTTTCAAAAGTTCTTATGCAGGTAAAAGTTTGTTCTTCTACTCGTAGCGCAGATTGACTACAGCATGAATCTCTTTCGACTGCTGTTGGCGTTTCATGATACTACGATCAAGAGCCTAGCACGAGACGCCCACCCTGTGAGGTGGAAGAGCTGAAGATGGTTTGAATTAATGTCTGTTCCATCTGAGTTATGGCAGTATTTATCAAAACTTTCGTTGCATACCAAACACAACCGGCTCATGTCTGAGGCGGTGACACCTACTACAATCTGTAGTCAGGTTTCAAGTCGGCTTGTAGCCATCACGACTAGGGAGAAAGCCTTCAACACCAAGGCCAAAGCCTTCCCAACCATCGAACTCAGCGACGAACTTAGCGGATGCCTTGAGGTAAAAGTTGTCCTTCTTCCCGTAAGTCTCTTCGAATGCCATGGGGGCTCGCACGACCTTAAAGAAGTGCGAGTCTTTAAGCCACCGATGGCCCAACGCTTTCGCCCGCACAGACTCCCAGTCCTGTCCACCAAGTTCCACGGACAGTATTGTATCGATGATGTTGGCTTCGAAGGCCGGCTTCTTTTGGCAAATGTATACCAAGATTAAGAAAAGCGCGTATTGTCGCATGATACAAATGCGTTGCTCCGCAGGGAACTGATCCCACAAAACGCGAAGGGCGTGCGCGACAGTCATTGTATGCACCAGATAGAAGTCATACTTGGTCTCGCGATTTGCTGTTCCGAGTGCCAAAAGCACTGACAAATCACAGCAGTGTTCCAGTTGCACAAAAGAATCCGACACATGCCATGCGTTCCAGTGCTCTAGAACGGCCTCGTACCGTTTTTGCAGCAGAACCTCGATATTGGTAATCCCTTGTTCGGGGAACAGGTTGTCAAACCGCTTGTCTTTATATATTCGATGGATAACGTTGGCAAGGCTTGTCGTCTTGTAAGTGGAGTTATCTGGAGGATATTGATCAAGAAGATGGTGCACTCCGAAGTACTCGGTGCACCCTAAGGACAGAGCCTCCGAAGCTACAGTAGGAGACTGAAGCTCCCATGAGTAAGCCAAGTGGATAAAAGGGTGGCCCACTATAGGGCAACGTTAGCTAACTGTCAAGTTCTGAGCGACGGGGAGAACATCAAACTTACGACCACCTGCATAACCATTGATAAGAGGTTCCGACCCAGAGAACAGGTACGACTTCAGGACCTGCCTCCAGTCCCCATCTTGTTGCTTGATCTCCTCGTCAAAAAAGTCCACATAAGCGACCGTGTAGCTACCCAAGCAGTTAGCTTGAGTCCGAAATAGTTCAAACTTTGCAGATTTGATGGAGTCATGGTGATACCTTTTTTGAGTCAAAAAGTCCCTCCAATTTTCCCTTGTGACTGCATCGCCTCGGATGAAACTGTCATCAACCTGGACAAGAGTCGAAACCTCATGCTTATAAAGCTCTTCAAGCAATGTGCTGCTCGCACCAAGAAGGTAGGCCGATCCAAGAAGCTAAAAAGTAGCGTAAACATCATCGTTCAGAGTATATGCATTTCAGGGCGCCGAGTTCTTGACATACGTGAGGGAGATGACTGTGAAGAATTAACTTCGGCTCTCGAAGCGGTGCTACCGAGACATGGCCCTTCTCCAAGAGCCGTCGCAGAGTTGTAGCTCTTTCGTCATTGTGGCCCTCAAGAGTGAACACGGGTTTGAGAACCGGCGGGAGCGTTGGCGAGGGAAGTCGCACGAGTGGGGGAGCTTCTTCCATTGTAGTTTGTTACGAGAGACTTTACCAGATGATAAAAGCGACTAGAAGAAATATTGGTTCTCTTTGTCGAAAATGCTGGTGGATAAATAATTGGTGCCGTCTGCTGGACCACATTTTGCGGCAAACTGCTATATTCCTTCGTCTTTGGTAATTCATTTTGCTATCTTGCAATATATTGTGGAGAACTAAGTTGAGCTTAACGTTGTTGCGGGGGTCGATGTAGCACATATGGTAGACGACGGGCTCTGCGGGCTCTGCGGGCTCAGTCGGATTTTGCGCTCCTTGGTTTTTTATTTGCCTTTGGGCACTGGCACATACCAAACGATTCCAAGCGTACGATACTTGTCTCTTTTTTTGCTGGAGTCCATCCGACCTGGAGCTCTCAGTACCAATCAGATCGCAATTTCCGAATAGGCATTAATTACACTCAAGACGCTCGTCAGAAGTCAAATGAATTGGCGGTTCTTCCGACACAACGTTAATTGAAAAAACAGGTGGGACTGGGCTGCGGGACTAGTCCTGCGGCATCTGGGGATCAGTGGGTCGGTCCCGCAGACAAGGATTTTTCCTTCCTCGTGCCCCATTTTTGCTGCACTGGCCTGGCTTACAAGACTGAGTGGGATTGCGGCAAAGCCCGAGGTGGGTGTGGAGAGTAACACTTTCGACCCTTGTCTCGAAATGGCTGACAAGCTTTGTTTATAGATCAGTGCCATTCGGGGTTGAACTATGAAATATCATATCGCTTGAAGACGGCACCACGGACTTGCTTGACCACGACATTCGATTGACTGTCCGTGCTGGCTTACTCGCAGGCCCTGAATTTGATACTGGACACTGCAACTTCTTAGGCTACAGGAACACCGTTACGCAACCTCTGGGGATCTCGGTGTCCAAATAAGCAAAATCAACAAGTGACCGCCCACCCCAAATGCACAGAGGAATGTGGAACGGGGAGAACTTGTAAATTAAGCGCTGGCTCTTGAGGCCCACCGCTTGCTATGACCGGGCTATCGTCGGAATTAAGAGTTTATTTAATTACCGAAGGCCAAGGTGCGCTATGACCAAGGAACCATCGTCGGAAAGTTGGTGATCTAAGATCTCGAGTTTCTGAACGGGGCTGTATCGTTAGTGTGTTGTCGTATTGCACGGTGGTGCTATGTCAGTAACATCAGAGAGGTGATTGCGGAGAGATACATTTTCAATGTCATGTTTATGTCTATTTTTCATTGGCCGCGGCTCCAGAGAGATGCTCGCTTAAACTCCAATATAGATTTTCATCCTATCAAACTTGAGGATGGCGCCAGTCCTCAATCGAGTCATCAGGCTGCTCAATATTGTATATGATCGAGTCTTGGTTCCCGCATTTGGGTATCTTTCTTGTTCCACGCAATTTTACCGGATGGGAGGGACGTTTGGTCCTTTTTCCAATACCAAGGAAATACGTCCAATATTCCATATATACATGAGTGGCTTTTACTGTCTATATCATAAATAGCTGGCTATGGCAAGGTTTCAGGTGTTTTAGCATAGACATTATACTTTGAATCCCTCATACTTCACGCCGCTTATCAGACAAATTGGATCGCTTACATGGCCAAGTCGAATGTCAAATCTGGCCCTGGCCGCCTTGCCCTGCTAGGTGCCACCGGTAATACTGGTCGAATGGTCCTGAAGAAGCTATTGGAGAACGCGGAGGTCTCTGCACATGGTATCAATATCTACGTTCGCTCCCGAACTAAGCTAGAAATACTGTTTCCTTCACTATCAAATGACTGCCGAGTGAGAGTCTTTGAGGGAAGTATCAAAGATCATGCTGTGATTCAGAATTGTCTTGCTGAAGCTAGCACAATCATTTGCACATTGGGAGAGAATGAGAACATCCCAGGAGTTACTGTTCTTGAGGATTTTGCTCGAGCAACGATTAAAGCTCTGTCAACCCTCCAAAGCAAGAATGAATCTTCGATTCAGCCTCGCCTCATCATGCTGTCCTCCGCGACTATGAACCCCCGATTCGCAGCCGCCCGACCAGCCATTTTACATTGGATGATTCGAACCGCATTTGATAAGCCTTACAATGACTTAATTAAAGCCCAGGAGATGCTTCTAGCTGTGCCAGAACTTCTCTCCGTTACACTTATCCAGCCAAATGCTCTCGTTGAAG